ATAAATGCAAATTCGGCCCATTATCTTAGACCAAGCCCTAATACCCTAATTTTCTTTTCGTTCAGCCGCAACTCGTTTTTTGTTTTTTCCCCCTTTCGTTCAATCTCTTCCTCTCTGGTTCAATCGACCTATCTCTCTCCCGAGATCTCTCAAAATTTCTCGAAAAAAATTCACCGTCTTCCTCGGCCTTCAGCCACGCACGAGAACCCCTTCGTCGGCGCCGCACCAGTGAACGTCTTCCAGCGGGTTCGAGCGCACGCAGCCCAACGAGACCACCAGCGAACCCCGCTTCCACAGCGAGATCCGAGCCTCGCTGAGGAAGATCAAGCCGGGTCCTTTCATTCTTTAAGTCCCGAGAAAGGTACAGCGGCTGAACCTTCATGCCTCTGTTTTGGCCGAGAATGTTTGGTTATGTGCTTGAATGATGTGCTATTTTTGTACCCGGTTGGGCTGTGTTGTTTGAGGTTGTTTGCAAATTTTTCATGCTCCAGTAATGTATTTCTTGGTGCTTTTTGGTGTTGAGTTTCAGCCCTAAGTGCCTTGTGTTTCATGCTTAGAACCTTTAGTTTGAATAAGGAGCATAGCAAGTCTTATGTGATTTTTTTTAAGTGGTTTCGGCCTTGAATTATATGAATGTTGCTGAACCTTTAGTGCCTGATATATGCTGAATTTAAGTGTATTTCAGAGCTGGTTGAGCATTATTTTTCAGTCAATTGAAATGATTAAAAAACATGCGATTTGTAGTGATGTTTTTGAATTAAGGAGCATATTGACATGTTGTAGTTTTCCTTTAAATTTTTTCAAGTCCTGTTGAGCTTGTGCTTGGTGTATATGCTGTTATTTTGTGCATATCAGAGGCTTTATGCTCGGTATAGATAAGTGTTCAAGCGTGTTAAAATCTTGAATTAAGAGGCATGATGTTTCGATTTTATATCACGTGATTTAGGGTTTGTTTTGATTGATTGTTAAAGCCCCTGTTCGGACTATTTTTTAGGCTGAAAAACATGAGTGTTGAAGTGGGAAATTTTCAGTCATAAATCAGTTCTTAAGCAGGCCTAAAGTGTTGGAACATGGGGAAAAGAGAGAAGAAGGTCAAAGCGCGGGAACATTCCTCGTCAGAGGAAGATAGAAGAAAGAGAAAAGATCTAGTAGAAGCTATAGACAGCGACGACGAGGCGAACGAGGACCTCAGCTTGAGAATTGTTCAGAAAGCCATGCAGCGAGCAGTTAGAAAGGATCCCCGGGAAGGTGGTGTTTCTGAAATAGTGATGGATTTGAAGGAGAAGAAAAAGAAGAAAAAGGAGAAAAGGAAAAAGGCAAAGGAACTCGAAACTCTTGAAATTTCAGTAAGCGTTGAATTTATGTTTAATTTATTTGAAAAGTTGGTGTATTCTCAGTTTAATTAGTTTGTACTGTATGTTGATGGCTGAATTAATGGGATCGTACTATCATGTTGCAATGTTTGAGGTCCCGAGTGACATAGATACGGGTTTCAGAGAGTTCTGCGGGGACTTGGTAAGTGTAGTTAAGCTTGAAGTTGTTTCTCTTATAGTGTGTTTCATACTTATCGTGAACTATGTTTTTCATTTTTGTTTCGTGGTAGCTAAGGTAGGTTAAATATAGTATATGTGTGTTGGTGTCAATGAAATGAAGGGGCTGGGCTGGAGCAGCATGGATGTCTAAATGCTTGAAATAAAAAGTACTTGTAGACATTTACACTTGGCAAGTGAAAATAGATTCCATTCTCTTGGAGTAAAGAATTAAGAAGGTTGTCTGTGATGTAATTTTGTGGTTTGATGATTTTGATTGGTTTCTCTTATTTAACTAATTAGTGTGAGTTGTTGCCCGCTCTTTCATGAAAATGGTGGTGTCGGAAATTGGGTCTGAGGTAGTATGTTTTTCCCCTATGATTCAGGTTGATAATGTGATGGATGAAGATACCTTGAAAGATGAGAAAATTGTGAAGGATGGTGAGGAACCTGAGACTCATAAAGCACCTGAAGTTTCTAATAAAGCAGTTGAAACAAATCCTGTTGAGGCCTCAGATAATGCTGTGTTAAGGAAACTTCTTGTGAGTTAAAGTAGTTTGTGTGCAAGAATCTTTTTTTGAGATAACAAGCAAGTGGTTTATGATAACTATCATGATGCCAGCGGGGGCCCAGGTACTTTGATCCTCCAGATGGCAGTTGGAGAACATGCTATAATTGTGGGGAAGAGGGTCATACAATTGCCAGCTGCACTTCAGCCAAGCGAAAGAAACCTTGTTTTGTTTGTGGGAGTTTCGAACATAACGCAAAGCAGTGTTCCAAGGTGTGTGCTCGAAAAGGACTGCTTGCCTCGACACTATTACTATTATTTTTGGCTTATCATATTTGAAGGATTATTCATGCGACATACATTTTTTTCAATTTTCATTTACTTTGTGGCGATTGCAGAAGGAAACAGTACACCGGTTTGCTATTTTGGTAGTGTGATGCATGGTCGCTTTTGTCATATGTCTATATTTTATCCTCTTTTTAATTAGTTGACTTTTCAATGATGCCTTGCCAGGAATATGGAGGAAGATGAACATTAATCTTTTTAAAGTTTTGTAACTTCTAAAGTGAATGGTAGCTTGTGTCACATTGCCTGATAAGTAAATCTTTGTCTGGATGCTATATTAGTGTATTAGTTGATGGAAAAGGTTTAAATGCCTAGCTGCATTTAGGAAGATAACCATTGATATTTTTTAGTGATTGCTCATTTGTATTGAATACCTGGAGGCTTTTATTGTATGTGAATTGAATAATTGATGCCTCTACGCTGTTGCAGAAGGTTCTTATTTTTATCCTCTCATTTATTTATTGGTAGGGACAAGATTGTTTTATCTGCAAGCAACAGGGGCATCGCGCAAAAGATTGTCCTGATAAATGCAACAGTTCGAAGATATGCTTGAAATGTGGAGATTCAGGACATGAAATGTTCTCATGCAGGAATGAATATAATCCTGATGATTTGAAGGTCCTCATTTCAGTAGATTACAGTATTATGTGTTGTTCCAGACTGTTTTGTTTTTTATTTATTATCTTATTTTGCAGGATATTCAATGCTACATTTGTGGAAAATTTGGCCATCTCTGTTGTATAAACTATAGCGATCCCTGTCCCACTGAGGTTTCTTGTTATAGATGTGGTCTATCCGGACACACTGGTCTGGTGAGTTTGGTTGTTGTAGTGATCTTTTCATGCTTTTTTGATTCATTAAGATGGCGAAAGGCCCTTGGTGTGAATCTATTATTATGGTCAACAAAGAATTTATTTTCCCTATATTGGTATGGAATTTACTCCAGAAAGTAATTAGCTCAGTCGCCTCAAGTTCATGGTATGGTTTGAAGAATATAAAATTTGTCCTGGTGGGTTGTTCTGGATCCTTTGAAGTGAGACTACATAACTACCTTCTTTGGTTTCATATGCCTTCTGAATGATTATATGCTTCCGAAAAAACTGTATTTTATCAAATGACTTCCTAGGGCTAAAAATAAATTAGAGGTTATTGTGAGTTTGTTCACAGCAGACTTTGTGTTCCTTTATGGATCGTGAGATTGCTTTTAAATTTAGCAGCATTTGTCTTAGATTTGCCATTTTATATGGTAAATTGCATTAAATTGGTTATTTGACAGTTTAATATTCAACCAGGCTTGCATGGGGTCCAATTGGGATACACACAACTCGGCTACTGCTAGTTCATGCTACAAGTGTGGTGTAGAAGGACATTTTGCTCGTGAATGTTCCAGCTCTGTTAAGGTATAACTGCAAGAACACTTCCCTTTAAGTGCTGTGTTACCCACTTTTATTCAAAGAAAAAAAAGTTGTGAAATACAAATAGCCCCTTAAGATATAAAGGGTCCTATGTATAATTTTCAAATTTTTGGTTTTATTTGTTATTAGACTACAACTCAGTGGTATACTTTCAAATTTACCATTCCATAAATTGCATATTTTGGAAATTGAACTTTGCTGTGCACACCAGGCTGTTAAGAGAAAACGCGAACTGTCAACGCCCAAACAAAGATCATCCAAGAAGAACAAGGACCGTAAGGAGCCCCATTCTGAACCGCATGATATTGGGAAAACACGAAAGAAGCAAAAGTCTCAATTTGGAGAGTTCGCCTCGGCCTCAAGAATGAAATACGAACGTTGTTGGACCACTGAACATCCTGCAGATTATTATTATAGCCATGCAGCCAGTGCAGATAGCTGGAGATCCCCAGGTAGCTCGAGTCACAACAGAGGTCGATACACTAGTTCAAATGGAAACTATGCATCAAGTTCTTATTCTTCCCAAACGCATCGCAATATCAATTTTCACAATTCACCGGCAAATGGGTCATCCAGATCTCACCAGCACAGGTACTTGGCATCGAGATTCAATTATTATAACGATCATGACAGTAGGGGAAGAAGTAGTAATTGGTGGTAGAGAATTATTTATAAAACTAATGAAAGCTCGTCAGTTTTTGGAGCTTCCGGGTGTTTACATACTAGGGTTATGAGGCGTGTAATTGGTTCAGTGTACATCACTGCTGAAAAGCATTGCTTGTAGCACCACAAAAATCATGGAAAAAAATACTGCCACCTATTATTATTTTTACCCAAGTTTGATGTAATACTATGAAATTTTTAGTTGCTTGGTTTATTTATATGATTTTTCACACAAGTTGGCCTATTAACTGTTGTAACTTGCTGCTGGAAGGTTCGTTTTCATTTATTTTTGTTACCTTGTTGGATATTGATGTTACACTAGTGCATTTGTTAGTTGTTTTTTGTCTAATACAACCATAACACTCAATCGGCTCGAAATTTTCACCCAATTTTAACACGGTAAACAATGCCATGTTATGTTTCAACTAAGGATTTAATTGATATTAGTACCCTTGCCATGCACATATTGTATACATCAGCGTAAATTGTGTGTATAAATATACATTGAAAATAAACTTTACGTTGTTAAATAAATTATATACTTTTCAAATATATTTTTCCAAAGGAAAATGTGACTAGAAATTGTGAAAAATTTTCCAGCAAAAATAATATATATAAATATATAAAATACACTCAAATGTGAATATAAATCAGTGAAAGAAATAAATTAAATTTGTACCACTGGATCTATCATATTAATAGTCATGGTTACGTCAAATTTTACCAAATAATGGTCAGACACAGTCAACATATGTATTTGACCCCTCATTAACATTATGTGTCATTAGACACAATACCCATGAGACCTGCTTATTCCACTAGTCCTAACTCAGGTCACCCACCACACCCTCCTTATCCATCTCTCACACACTAATCTACCCGTCTCTCACACACTACACACACTTCACACATACACACACACACACAACCACTCACTTGTATGCTTTCACACACACACCCGTCGCCGGCGACAACAGCTCGCCACCTCCTTCAGACTCGTCACCACCACAGGCGAGCCTCGTCATGGTCGCGGCGGCATACGCCAACTAACTTTCACTGGCCGGACGATGGTGGTGTTGGTCGTCAGTCATGGCCATGTGGCCGACACCATTGATTTGACTGGACTATCCTCGTCACGACGGGTACTTCAGCCACGACACGGCCATTGAGGGAGCAACGAGCCTGCAACCAACAGAGGGCACACCCACTAGTGTGGCTTTGCCGGAGAAAATAAGTCGCATCGGGAACCACTAAGGGCCGCTGGCGAAGCAACGGCGGCGGGCAGCGACAGCACCAGCGATCGGAAGGCCTGCGGTTGGAATTGGATTTTGTTACGTGGGTTTATTTTTGAAAATTTGACAAAGTTTCAAGGAATTAGTTGCCATATTAGGAAATTTCAATATATTTCAATTTAAATGATGGGCTAGATACGTAAGTTATATTTAACAGTTGCACAATATATTCACTGCAACACATAATAACGCACACAATAACGTGTGTATGTGCACATTAATAATCCAAAAATTACCAAAATGCCAATGCATTACATAATGCACAATATTGTTCATCGGTTGGTGCTGATATTTTAATATTTTACAACAACATATATATATATATATATATATTGTTGATATGGTTTTTGGTAAACAAAAGTACTAATAACCATTGGCATTTAGAGCTCGACAATTAGAAGATTATGTCATTTCGGAGGTTGACATGCTCGCGAGTTTGAAGTGATCACACATCGGGTAAAGATGGGCCAAGGACCGACATCTTCATCAAATAACCGACATCTCATATCGGTTAAAACCTAATGAACCGATATCTACGACTCCACGAACCAACATCATAAAGCGGTGCCAGTTCAGCAAACTCATCATTATGCCTTGCCAAGTGGCGTACTACGAGGATGAAGGGCGATCGACCGCCATTGACTTTTCCAGATTAATGATTGTAATTTTGATAATTTTGTATGAGACTATAAAATAGGAACGAGGACAAAAAATATGAGGGATCACATTCAATAATCCATGTTTTTACCATCTTTCCATATAACTAATCTCTGCATAATCAATACAATTCTCTTTGAATAATCTTTGTTAATCCCCGTATAACAACAGTTTGGCGCTAGAGGAAGGGCCTCATAAGTGTTTGATGTTAATCTTCACCATTATAGCCATCACTCGCTTAAATCGCCATGTCATAATCTGGTCGAGATCACACTTCCCATGCTGGACAAAGTCATGCTACGACTCGTTCCCTAAGGCATTCTACGCCACCACCACCGGTAACCAATATTCCGGAGTTTCTCCAAAACCCAGAATTCATTCAAGGGCTAACATCTCTTATAACTCGAGCTATGCCCAGAACTTTGAGTACCGTACCAATATCTACTCATATCTCCACGAATCCAATGGAACAACCAAATCCTACTCGTCATAATCAAGAAATACATTTAGCAGCGTCACATGCCACCTCACAACCGCATAATACTTCTCCGCACCGAGATGAAATGACTCGTGTAACCATACATCCAATACCAAATAACTTGGCAACACAGGGGCTTCCTGTACAAGAAATGACTGCTAAAAGCCATTCTGATCACCATCATAGAGTTTTTTCACGTCATAGACCTCCCTCACCGATGCCTCGAGATCGTGAAGATTTACATCATCAGATTGAACGAAATCGTGTGTCAAGACATAGTGCGGAAGAATTAGAAGTTCTCTGTAAAAGATTGGCTGAAATCGAAACTCAACAAAAATCACAAGAAGACTCTCCCCGACATGTCTCCACATCGGGCAATGTTATCGTCGAAGCTGATTCGCCCTTGACTCCCGAACTTACTGCAGAGGCACTCCCTGCCAAGATAAAAATTCCACAAATTGGCATGTATGATGGAACTTCGGATCCTGATGCACATTTAGGTCATTATACGTCTTAGATGGATTTGCATGGCGCCTCAGATGCTTTGAGATGTCGGATGTTTTCCCTTACACTGGGGCCACGCGCACAGAAATAGTATTACACTCTTCCACCTCATTCAATATGGAAGTGGCAACAGTTACGTACAGCTTTCCGATCACACTTTATCGGAGCCCAAGTTTGTCTTATCCCGAAGGAATCAATCACTAACATCGTGCAGAAAGATAACAAAACAGTTAAAGACTATATATCTCGGTTCAATGACCAAATTCAAAATATGGAACCTTGCCATCCTGAGACTTTATTGGTAACCGCGATCGCTGGGTTAAGGCCCAATTCTATGTTTCGTTGGACTCTATGTCAGAATAAGTCGGCTTCCTTTCAAGATTTTCTCGTGCGAGCCCAACAATTTATTATTGCCGAAGAGTCGATGTCGGTCCCCAGTTTCGACTTCTCGGTTAAGGAAGACAAGACTGAGTCAGATGCAAAGAAAAAGAACAATAAGAATTTCGGAAAGGTGCAATACCAAAGTTATTTGAAAGGCTATAAAGATACTCTGGAATCTAAAGTCGCCCGAGACCAATATGTCGGCAATGTGAGGACAGGCTACCAAACTGTTTATTCAGCCGGAGCAGCTACAATTTTTGAAGAACTAAAAGGAAAAGGAATCATTCCTGATCCGAAACCTGTGAGAACTCCTGAAGACAAGCTGGACAAAACTCGATATTGTGCGTACCATAAGTCACCGGGACATAATACCGATGAGTGTCTCGGCCTCTTGTCGGCTCTTCTGCATTTAATTGGGAAACCTCACCTTCAAAAATTCAGGAATTTTGATAATCGTCTCAAAGGAAGGCCCACTGATGTCTCGTATGAAGAAGATGACGACGAACGAGGCGCCAATCCAAAGAGAATCTGCGCAACTGATAAGGAGGTTTTTACGTTCTCTACTCTTGTCGGCACTTCGACCGATGAATATAAAAAACATAGAACCCATGATGACTTGAGTTTTTCTCATTATATACCTCGGGTAAATTTAAACACTAAACAGTTGGATACATCCCGACGAAAAGCTAAAGCCTATGCTCGAGAAGCACAAAATGCCGAGAAACAAATCATGAACGTTCATCTTCGAGATACCATCAACAAACGGAATTGTCCTATCACTTACCACATTGAAGATGACAATCTATTTGCTCATCCACATTCTGATGCTCTTATTATTACCGCCCCAATCGGAGGAATTCCTGTTCACCGAATTATGGTTGACACCGAAGCTTATTCGAGTATTTTGATGTTTTGCACTTTCAAAAAATTGGGTTTGGATCCCACTGATATTAGGCCTTGTAACGACCATATTCAAGGCTTTAATGGAAGCATTTCTTGTCCTCTCGGTGAAATCCTACTCCCTCTTCGATTTGGTGGCTTCGGACCAAAATCCAAAATCATTATGGAAACTTTCAAAGTCATGGATATTCAAAATGAGTACAATGCTGTCGTAGGACGTACTTCCTTTTATAAACTTCGTGTTGCTGTGTCAATTTTTCATTATGCATTAAAATTTCCTACCATCGAAGGAGAGGGCACTCACTATGGAGATCAGCTGGAGGCGCAAAATCTGACGTTGGCTCCGACTTCACGCAATATTCATGCATATGAAACACAGAAGACTGATGACTCTATTGGTCTGATAGACCCAAATCTCCCTAATGCCAAAGTAACGGATCATTCCGATTCAGATACCGACATCCCCTCTGTGCCTGATACCGATGTCCCTATGATATCGGAATTGCCTGAAACCTTGAATGAAATTCACGACCAAGAACAACAGCTTCATGAGGAGGATATGAAGGTGCGTGAAGATATAGACCCAAGAATGCAATTCAAGGATAAAAGTCACCACGCTCGGGCGAGAACCTGTTGAGGATGTTGATATTATTTACGTAGATGAGCTAACTCAAGAAAAATCGCTGCGTGTCGGAACTAATCTTCAAGAACCGATACATTCTCAATTGATTCAGTTCCTTGGATCAAATTACGACGTATTTGCATGGAAGCATGAAGACATGAAAGGAATATATCCTCAGAAAGCTTGTCATCGGCTGAATTTGGAAAAGACTGTCAAGCCCTTAATACAGAAACGCCAAAAATTCGGACCTGATCGTCAGAAAGCACTGGAAGAGGAAGTGAATAAACTCATAGACAATAAGTTCGTCAAAGAAGCCAAGTATCCAACGTGGATATCAAACCCGGTTTTAGTTAGGAAAAGCAGTGGCCTTTGGCGCCTATGCATCGACTTCTCGGATTTGAATCAAGCATGTCTGAAAGACAGTTATCCAGTCCCACATATCGATTATATGGTAGATGCCACGTCGGGACACCAGCTTATGAGTTTTCTGGACGCTTATTCTGGCTATAATCAGATTCCCATGCATCCCGACGATGCTGAACATACCTCATTTTATTCAGCCCGAGGACTTTACTGCTACGTCATGATGACTTTCGGATTGAAAAATGCTGGGGCCACATATCAGAGGCTGGTCAACAAAATGTTTGCTCATTTGATCGGACACACGATGGAAGTTTACATAGACGACATGCTAGTGAAATTGGAACACGCGCATGATCATATCGGTCATCTCTCCGAGGTTTTTAACATCCTCCGAGAATACTCAATGGTCCTTAATCCTAAAAAGTGCACCTTCGGGGTCGGATCAGGAAAATTCTTGGGATACATGGTGAGCCAAGAGGGATCGAAGCCAATCCCGTCAAGATTCAGGCCATACTTGATTTGGCTCCTCTGGCGTCCATCAAAGGTATCCAAGCTTTAACTGGTCGATTAGCAGCTCTGAATCGATTTATTTCAAAGTCGACAGATCATTGGAAGCCTTTCTTTGATGCTATCAGAAAGAAGAAGCCGTTTGAATGGACTACTGAATGTCAGAATGATTTTGATAACATTAAAGAAGTCCTTTCACAACTTCTGACGTTGCAGAAACCCCTTCCCGATGAACCCTTATATTTATATCTAGGAGTTAGTGATGTTGATGTTAGCGTCGCCCTCATACGACAAGACGGACTCTAGCAGTTTCCGATATATTATGTTAGCAAGGCTTTACATGATTCAGAATTGCGATATCCGTACATGGAGAAATTAGCCTTTTCTTTGATTATTGCTGCACGTAAGTTGCGACCATACTTTCTGGAACATTCTATTATTGTGTTAACATCATACCCTCTCCGA